TAAGTTTCTTGTGATAATGGTGAGGTGTTTAGGGGTAAAGCAGTTTTGTTCACAACTTTCCAATGGTTCAGGAGAATGGAACATATATAGTGAGAGAGAACATAAATTTGTGACATGCTAGCATTTAGTGAAGGATATATTGTTCATAGGACTGTGCTTTCAACTCTTCAGTTGGTTTATAAATTTTGAAACTAAAAAGCTGGGTTCAAAACAGAAGTGCAAAATTGGTGTAGCCACTATGGAAAACACTATGAAGGGTCCTCAAAAAATTTAAAAATAGAGCCACTATATGACCCAGCAATCCCACTTCTGGGTATTTATTTATGTTCTTTTCATCATTATTTATAACAGCCAAGATATGGAGACAACCTAAGTGCCCATCAATATCAAATGGATAAAAAAGAAGTGGTGTATATATACAAAGGAATGTTACTGGACCATAAAAATAAATAAAGTTTACAATTTGTGACAGCATGGATGAACTTGGATGGTATTATGCTAAGTGAAATAAGTCAGAAAGAGAAAGACAAATACCATATGATTTCACTTACATGTGTGCTGGGGCTGACCAGCAGACCCTGAACAATGGATGAATAGATTATTCTGACACACGTTTCTGTGAAAGAGAAGGCGAAGGGGTTTGTTTGGCTGTAGAAACCAAAAACAGCCCCGATTGCCTGCCTTCTTAGCTTTTTATTGTAACAACAGCTTGAACTAAAATTAACCTTTAGATATAATCAACAGAGTAAGTATCCTTGAGAAAGCATATGTTTCTACAAGGCTGGGACTTAAAGACTAAAAATAGAGATTCTAGCAAAACACCTGGGGGATCGGACTTATTTGGAGAAGTCAAGGTAGGGGCTGCCACCTTTGGCAAGTTCCCCCTAGAGGCCCCCGACCTTTCAGAGAATCCTCCTTACAGACATTCCAACCAAGTCCTGTGCTTCCCCACACATGTGGAATCTAAAAAACAAAAGAAAGGAACAAACAAACAGAAACAAACTCATAGCTACAGAGAACTAATGGTTGCTAGATGGGAGGGGATTAGAGGGGATGGTGAAGTAGATGAAGGGATTGAGTATAGATTGGAGAGAACCAAGATGGTGGTGTGGGTAAATGCCGGAACTCACAGCCCCTCACAACCACAACAAAATTACAAGTAAAATACAGAACAACCATCATTCAGAACCTGGCTGAATGGAGGTCCTACAACTAGAGAAGTAAAGAAGAAAGTACATGGAGACTGGTAGGAGGGGGTGGAGGCTCAGAATGGGCTGGTCTGACACCCACCTGTGGTGGTTTTTTAATTGGGAGGGATATCTCCAAGGCCGCTTGTGAGCAGGGTTCCCAAGCCCACATCAGACCCTCAGCCCAGGGTCCCAGAAATGGGAAGAGAAGTCCTTGTAACTTCAGGCTTTAAAAATCTGTGGGGACCTGACCGGTTTGGCTCAGTGGATAGAGCGTCGGCCTGCAGACTCAAGGGTCCCAGGTTCAATTCCGGTCAAGGGCATGTACCTTGGTTGCGGGCACGTACCCAGTGGGGAGTGTGCAGGACGCAGTTGATCGATGTTTCTCTCTCATCGATGTTTCCAACTCTCTATCCCTCTCCCTTCCTCTCTGTAAAAAATC